AGTGCCGCGCGACAGGTGATCTGGCCCGTTTCTTTTGGGGCGCCCGCGCAATTTTGGGCGCTGAGATGATGTGCGCAAGGTGGTTTGGCCTGTGCCGACCGCGGCGACCGCCCCTCAGCGGGCCTCGCAGCGCCCCTTGGCTGCGGCGCGCCGCGGCCGCCCCCGTCCGTCTTCCGCCGCCGTTTGGCTGGAGCATCCTGGCCAATGTGTGCCGAGCAGCCTCGCGCCCCCGACGCTCCTGGCCATGGTCGCTCGCGGCCGTGCCCCCTCGCGCCCATGTCTCGCGGTTCCTGCGCGGCGTTGTCTGCGGCCCCCTCTTCGCGGGGGTCGCGTTCCGAGAGATCGCTGACGAGGTCCGCGAGGAGGGCGGGTGCCATCCGAGCCAGCAGACGGCTGCCGCCGCAGTCTGCCGGGTTGGCCGCCGGCTCGGCTCGGGGGCGGCGATCGCCAGATCCTGCGCCTCGTGACAGCTCAGTGTGCGAACAGGGTCAGGTGATCAAAGCGGCGCCGAAGGCGGTTCCCGCGCTGCGCAGCGGCGCCTGAGCGAGGCGGGGCTTGCTTGGCTCAGGAGGCGCCGCAAGTCCATCGTGCCGCGGACGTGCGTGGTGGCGGGGGACAGATTTTTCAATGGGCGTCCGCCCTGGAGCGAAGCCGCCTGCGGGTCCCGTCCACCGCGGGGCGCCGGCGGCGCCCCTGAAACGTCTGCTCTCGGCCGACGGGTGAGCCGGCAGGATGTCGCCGCGTGAGCAGACGCGCGCGCTGCGGCCGCTCTGGCGCGATGGGTGTGCACCGACGGCGCGGTCTTCTATCGGGCCCGCGACGACCCCGACTTCGAGTCGCAGCGGCGTGGGGCCTGTGCTGGGCCCGCGCGCGTGGCGCGCGGCAGACTGTTCGGGCGGCGTGGGCGAGGGGCGCGTTGGGCCGTCGGCACAGTGGAATGCGCAGGGCTTTCCAGTGCGAGTTTGGGGGCTGCTCGCGACAGGGGTGCTGTTTATCTGCGTCGTGCCTGACGGCGAAACGACGAACCGTTGGTGGTGCGAGTGGGTCATCGGCCGCGCGTTCCCCGCGTGTTTGCGCGAGGCGACGAGGGGCGGGCTCGGGTTTTCTTTAGTTCGAGACCACGAGCGGCACCTCCTGACCTAGGGGCCGCGCTGCGCCCTGCGCGAGCAGGACATTCACATCTTGGAATGTAGATGTCCGAGGTGCAGCCAGGGCCTCAATGCCATCGAAGCTGTGCGACGGGCAGTGCGCGCGCGCCCAGCCGCTGCAGAGCTGGACTCCATGGAGTCTAGAGATGCGTTCGTCGTTCGCCTCCGCGTGGCGGTGGCCTGAGTGAAAGTGCGCTGCAGGGCGTGCTTGGTCAAGATCTGTCTGCGCAGATCACAAGGGTCGGGCCCGCGACGTCATCTGGTTGACTGGGAGCAGGACGAAGAATTGACTTTGGGCCTCGCGCCCGTGCCTGGACGCGCGCAGGCGCCGTCGCGGCAAAGTCCAGCGCCTTGTGGCAGCGTCCCCAAGCGGCGCTTGCATGTCGCTGTTCAAACACCTGGCGCAGCGCCTCATATATGTCGCCGCGAGACAGCGGTGACGCAGTTTTTGAGGCCTATGCTGGAATACGCAGCGGCCAATCTTCGTCACAAATAAACCGACACGCGGTTCATAACCGAAGCGGTCGATAGTTTAGACACATGTCAGAGAACGCTTTCTTCAGTGCTGTGAGGGTATTGCCAGATTTCGGACACCTGCGGTGCAGCCAAACATATCATGCCACTTTTGAAATAGCGCCGACCACACCAGCACAGAGAACAATAGCCGTCTTTTTATTTTCGTAGTGCTCTTTAGTGTTTCCTTAGTGCCTCCTTGGTGGCTCCGTCGTGGCTCCTCAGTGGCGCTTCAGTGTCTCCGCGCCGCCGTCCAACACCCCTATCCCCAGGCTGCGCGGGGGAAGCGGGATCCCCGTCCCGTCCTTCCCCGTCTTCCCCCCCCGCGCCTGTGCGCGCGGGACATGATGATACTGCTGATGATGATGATGATGATGATGCTGATGATGATGATGATGATGATGATGATGATGATGATGGTGATGATGATGATGATGTTGAGAATGATGATGCAGAGGATTTCAAGGGGGATGAATAATGATAACGAGGCGCGGGTTGGAGGAGGAGGAGAGGGGATGTTGAGGATCGGGGGGGAAAAGAGGAAGAGTGGGGCAATGTCCGAGCTGCGCAATCGCCGCGCTTACCCCGCGGGTCGCCAATGCGCGCGCCGCTAAGTGCTGCTAGGGTACCGGTAAATGTCGCCATCTTGGGGCTTGCCGCGAGAGTTCTCGCAGTCGCGCACAACATGGTGTGCCATTGTAATGATGTTACGTGTGTGGAGGCATGGTGGGGATTTTTGTTGAAACGCCAGACCAGTCGTGAGGGCCGCTCAGGAGGAATTCGCAGGAGTGAGCATGTTTTGAACCAGTGAATTCACCTGCTTGGCTCAGTCCATGCCTTTCGGATCTTGGTCCAGGGTAGCCATCTGCGTGAAATGTACGTACCAAACGGGCGCGTGGTTGGTTCCGCTTGTGGAATAACGACGGTGGTCAGCCAGCGAACACTTCCTAGGGCTTTGTCGGCGTTAGTTTGAGCAACGAACATGTTTTCAGCTACGCAGGCATGGGCATAACTACCCTTCGATTTGATCATGTGCTGCGTATTTTGCCCAGTCCGTCCAAGTCGTGTTGCAGGCAATATGACTTAGATATGACGGCATTGTGTATCAGTGCTGCAAAAGTGTGCCTTTTCAGGTACAACAAGTTACCGTGAACAAGTACAACGGTGCGCCATATGTTATTCCCAACCATCCTGTGGTGTTGGGTCCTCGTTTTGAGGAGATGGTCCCCGCGTTCCTTCGCCTCCTCCTCGGCCCCCTCCTCCTCCTACCGTCCGCATGCGTCCCCCCCACCCAGTACAGCGCTTCGTGGCCCCATAGGGAGCCCCACCGAAGGTCCCAGTGCTACCGTCCGCATGCGTCCCCCCCACCAAGTACACGGTTTCGTGGCCCCATAGGGAGCTCCACCAACGGCCCCAGTGCCACCGTCCACATGCGTCCCCCCCTCTCAGTACAGGGTTTCGTGGCCCCACATGGAGCTCCACCGAAGGCGCCAGTGCCACCGTCCACATGCGTCCCCCCACTCAGTACAGCGTTTCGTGGCCCCACAGGGAGCTCCACCGAAGGCCCCAGTGCCACCGTCCACATGCGTCCCCCCCTCTCAGTACAGCGTTTCGTGGCCCCATAGGGAGCTCCACCGAAGGCTTCAGTGCCACTGTCCACATGCGTCCCCCCACTCAGTACAGCGTTTCGTGGCCCCACAGGGAGCTCCACCGAAGGCCCCAGTGCCACCGTCCACATGCGTCCCCCCCACTCAGTACAGCGTTTCGTGGCCCCATAGGGAGCTCCACCGAAGGCCCCAGTGCCACCGTCCACATGCGTCCCCCCCACTCAGTACAGCGTTTCGTGGGCCCATAGGGAGCTCCACCGAAGGCCAGTGCCACCGTCCACATGCGTCCCCCCCACTCAGTACAGCGTTTCGTGGCCCCATAGGGGGCTCCACCGAAGGCCCCAGTGCCACCGTCCACATGCGTCCCCCCCTCTCAGTACAGCGTTTCGCGGCCCCATAGGGAGCTCCACCGAAGGCGCCAGTGCCACCGTCCACATGCGTCCCCCCCACTCAGTACAGCTTTTCGTCGCCCCATAGGGAACCCCACCGAAGGTCACAGTGCTACCGTCCACATGCGTCCCCCCCACTCAGTACAGCGTTTCGTGGCCACATAGGGAGCTCCACCGAAGGCCCCAGTGCCACCGTCCGAGTGCGTCCTGAAACACCCAATTTGGCATTTTCACCCACCCAGTACAGCGTTTCGTGGCCCCATAGGGAGCTCCACCGAAGGCGCCAGTGCCACCGTCCGCATGCGTCCCGCACACCCCATGTGGCATTTTCACACACTCAGTGCAGCGTTTCGTGGCCCCACGAGGAGCTCCACCGAAGGCTCCAGTGGGACTGTCCGCAAGCGTCCCGAAACACCCATTGTGGCATTTTCACCCACTCAGTCCAGAATTTCGCGGCCCCGTAGGGAACTCCACCGAAGGCCCCAGTGCCACCGTCCGCATGCGTCCCGAAAGCCCAACGTGGCATTTTTACCCACCCAATACAGCGTTTCGTGGCCCCTTAGTGAGCTCCGCCGAAGCCCCCAGTGGGACCGTCCGCATGCGTCCCGGAAACCCAATTTGGCATTTTCACCCACCCAGTACAGCGTTTCGTGGCCCCATAGGGAGTTCCACCGAAGCCTCCAGTGGGACCGTCCGCATGCGTCCCAGAAGCCCAATTTGGCATTTTCACTTACCCAGTGCAGCGTTTCGTGGCCCCACAAGGAGCTCCACCGGAGCCCCCAGTGGGACCGTCCGCATGCGCTCCGGAAGCCCAATTTGGCATTATCACTTACCAGTACAGCGTTTCGTGACCCCATAGGGAGCTCCACCGAAGCCCCCAGTGGGACCGTCCGCATGCGTCCCGGAAACCTTCCTTGACACACCACTCACCCAGAACAGCGTTCCCCCCACCCAGTGCGGCGCTTCGTGGCCTCATAGGGAGTTTCACCGAAGAAGATTTTCACAATTGCGACCCACAAGTGCATATGGTTGGGTCTCTCGCCAGGATAATTGTTTTTGTCCGCTAAGGTCCATGGTATCTACTTTGATCGTGGACAGACTCAGTTGCAGTTCTCTGGGATCCTGCCTTAGGGCTGGGGGTAGTGAGGAGCCAGTCGTCGTGCCTCGGGGCTGGGGGGCGTTGACTGCAGCAGGAGCACGGGTAACAGGTAGCAGCGGCAATGGAAACAGCAGGTAACCCGCAGGGGAAGCGGGCAGTGGAAGATGAGGGAAGGGTGACTTTGGCTTGGAACGTCGGGCAAGGGGGGGACGGATAGGGCCTTCTCTGAAAGTCCGTTGCGCAGGTCGACATCATCCGCACTGGTGCTGGGCCTGTCTACGGCCACGACTACCGCGTGGCCAACGATCTCCCGCACTGGGCCTTCCTTTTTCTGTTTGAGCCTTCGAGCAGCGCGCCTTTGTAGTGGTACAGCATCTTGCGAGAGGTGCAGTCGACAGTGCGCATCGGGGTGTCGTGGGGGTGCTGGGAACCATCTGCACTGCTCGCTGTCTTCTCCCTCCGTCCCTGCCTTAACCAAGGCCGCCGAGATCGACAAGGTGTCGATGGGCCGGTCTGTTTGCTGGCCCTCGTCCTGGGACTTCCACGCCAGGCTTCATGGCGCTCGGCCCCTATCAGCCTGAAAGTATGTGACCGAAAGCAATCGGTGACCGAAAACGTGCCCGAACTTGTGACCGAAAACGAAGTGTGACCGAAAGTGTGACCGAGCTCGAACATCGTATTGGTTTCGAACCAAGCAAATTCGGTCGCGCGTGGGGGGCGTTCGGAAAACCTCGGGCGCAGGTTTCGGCCACACTCGGCCAGATTGTCGGGCACAGTTCCAGTCATAACAACAACCCCCTGGTAGAGACGAGGCTACGTGACGTGAGGTTGCCGAGCCGCAGGTTTGGGGTGATTCAACGGACAGCGGGTGGCCGTGTCTCCGTGCACAGCGTGCGGCTCGGCGCTCGCCTCGTCATCCAGCATCTTTGACCCATTGGTCCATTCCGTCTCCACCGTGTCAGATTTGGGTTCGCTTGGATTCTCTGACAGACACCACCGCTCTGAAAACGTTCTGACATGCCTAAGGCAACCATGCCCAAAACGACCATACCCCAAGCGACCTGCTAAACTCCCAAATGTGGAGCCCTGCGTTGCAAGCCTGCCAGCCAGGGGCTCCGTCATTCTCGGAGATGTGGGCTCCGAACCCTGGAAACGGGAGGACCGAGCCCTGGAAATGCCAGCGCGCGTGCGCTGGAAACAGACGCTTTCGACTATGGACGCGCAAACGCGGTGGATGCGACCTCTGCGGCTGGAGCGTGGTTTCTCGAGCTTCTTGGGGCGTTCGGTGGAGTGCTCAGGGGGGCTACCGCGTGGAGTGGCAGTGTGTGTGTCGAGATGGGGCGCTGGCCTTCCCCGGGCGCTGCCAAGCGGCAGGTCGATCGGAAAACTATTTGTTTCCGCTGCCTTACGCTGCCACGTGGCGAGCAGGCTGGGACAATTTTTCCGCCCCGCTGAGATGCCACGCCGCGAGCAGCATAGAATATGCAGTTCCCGCGCCCCCCACTGCGTTGCCACTATATTCTTGGGCAGACATGCTAACGGACAAGTTGCAAGCATGCGCGAACAGATGGAGTGCACGGATGGTCCGACGCACTTTGGTGATTTTGGGCATGTTCTGTGCCTACCGAGCGGCCGACAGATATCATTTTTCTGAGTCGGTCGCGCTCGGCGCCCGACAATGTAGTGGCGGAAAGGGGGAAGGGGGGGGGGGCTTCGGGCTGGGGAGGTCCAAAGGGAGAGGGAAGAGGGAGGACGGGGTCGCTCATGGGTTCCCCGCCATGCTCCGGGAGTGTCTGGCCAGACGAGTTTCCCAGAACATGGCGGGGAGGAGTTCGAGGTAGGGAGGGTGACGTTGAGGGAGGAGCGTTGAGGGAGGCTCGGGGTGGCGAGGAGGGGGAAGGGACGAGGGAGGAGGGAACCCTTCCCTCCCATGTCTCATGTGGCGAGTAGAGAAGAGTTTTGCTTGTTTTGCCCAGCCGCGTTGTCACGTGACAGGCGAAACAGAATGCTACGTGTTTCCGCCCCCCTGCGCTGCCACGTGACGAATAGAGCAGAACAGCACGTTTTCCGACCCCTGCGAGGCCACGCGGCTAGAATATTTGATGAATGTGTTTCGCCCACTCCCCAGGCGTTGCCGAGTGACGGGTCGAGCAACATGCTTTTTATTCCCCATATCCTAAGATGGGGTTCTTGTTATTACTTGGACGCCTCCTACTCCTTCTTCTTCTCCTCCTCCCCTCTTCTCGTCTCCTCCTACTTAGACTCACTCATACTCAGATTCACTCATACACAGACTTACTCATACACAGACTTACTCATACACAGACTCACTCATACTCAGACCTGATCACATTAACTTACTCATACTCAGACCTACTCATACCCAGACCTACTCATACTCAGACTTACTCATACTCAGACTTCCTCCTTCTCCTCCTCCTTTTACTCAGAGTTCCTCATACACAGACTTACTCATACTCAGAATTACTCATACTCAGACCTTCTCATTGTCTGACTTATTCGATAAACAGCAGATTGCGAGGATGTCTCAGGCGGGGCGCTGGTTTCAGCACCCCTAAGGGGAGCCGCCGAGGGGTGTTGCACGGTCCCGTTCGCGGCCGTTTTGTGGGGATGTCTCAGGCGGTTTGCCTGTTTGTCTTGCCAACATCCTTCGCTTTCGGAGCAGATTTGGAGGATGTCTCGAGCGAGGCGCTCATTTTCACCCCCCAGGTGGGCCAGATTTTGAGGATGTCTCGATCGGTTTGCTTGTTTTGGTGGCCAGGCTCGTGGCCCTAAGGGGAGCCGCCGAGGGGTGTTGCACGGTCCCGTTCGCGGCCGTTTTGTGGGGATGTCTCAGGCGGTTTGCCTGTTTGTCTTGCCAACATCCTTCGCTTTCGGAGCAGATTTGGAGGATGTCTCGAGCGAGGCGCTCATTTTCACCCCCCAGGTGGGCCAGATTTTGAGGATGTCTCGATCGGTTTGCTTGTTTTGGTGGCCAGGCTCGTGGCCCTAAGGGGAGCCGCCAGGGGTGTTGCACGGTCCCGTTCGCGGCCATTTTGTGGGGATGTCTCAGGCGGTTTGCTGTTTTCTTGCCAACATCCTTCGCTTTCGGAGCAGATTTGGAGGATGTCTCGAGCGAGGCGCTCATTTTCACCCCCCAGGTGGGCCAGATTTTGAGGATGTCTCGATCGGTTTGCTTGTTTTGGTGGCCAGGCTCGTGGCCCTAAGGGGAGCCGCCAGGGGTGGTTGCACGGGCTCGTTCGCGGCCATTTTGTGGGGATGTCTCAGGCGGTTTGCTTGTTTCTGTGCCCAACATCCTTCGCTTTCGGAGCAGATTTGGAGGATGTCTCGAGCGAGGCGCTCATTTTCACCCCCCAGGTGGGCCAGACTTTGAGGATGTCTCGATCGGTTTGCTTGTTTTGGTGGCCAGGCTCGTGGCCCTAAGGGGAGCCGCCAGGGGTGGTTGCACGGGCTCGTTCGCGGCCATTTTGTGGGGATGTCTCAGGCGGTTTGCTTGTTTCTGGGCCCAAATCCTTCGCTTTCGGAGCAGATTTGGAGGATGTCTCGAGCGAGGCGCTAATTTTCACCCCCCAGGTGGGCCAGACTCCAGGAGGCCCCAGGAGACCACATGAGGTACCAGGAGGCATCAGGAGGCCACAGAAAGACTCAAGAGGCCACAGGATGTCCCAAGAGGCTCCAGGAGGCCCCAGGAAGCTCCAGAAGGCCTCAGGAAACCACAGGAGGCCCCAGGAGGCAACAGGAAGCGCCAGGAGGCCTCGGAAGGCAACAGGAGGCCCCGAGAGGCCCCAGGAGCAGGAGGCCTCAGAAGGCAACAGGAGTGGCTCCAATCCCATGTGTTTTACGTATGCTCCTATCGATTGGGCCTCACCTGGAGCACGATTCTTTGATGTTCTACGTATGTTTCTATAGATGGTCCTTCTCCTGTGTACACAATCCTAAATGTTTTACTCATGTTCCTATGTATTGGGCCTCTCCTGGGGCACGAGTCCTTGGTGTTTTACGCGTGTTCCTATAGATTGCCCTTCTCCTGTGGCTCTAATCCGCAATGTTTTATGTACGTCTGTTGCTATAGATTGCGCCTCTCCTGGGGCACGAAACCTTCCTAGGAGGTCCCAGGAGGTCCCAAGAGGCTCCTGGAGACCCCAGGAAGCCCCAGTAGGTTTCAGGAGGCCCCAGGAGGCCCCAGGCTCATGCACAGAGACGCGCTCGTACTACTGAGGCTCATTCACACTCCAATTCATTCGCAGTTAGATTGATGTCCAGACCGTCACAACTGAAGCCTGTTAATATTCGAAAGCTCTTGCGCCTAGACATTCACGGCGGACAGGTCCATGCGAGTAGATGCACATATGGGGAGCTCCACGCAGTGAATAATTTGTGCTTCCGGGGTGCGGTTCTAGAATTCCCGGGGTTCAGACACAGACCCAAACGGCCATTCCAACCCCGTGTAGGCATGTTCAACAGCATTTGTATACATGCTACTAACGTACACATCATATGCCCCCTCAGCGACCCCACGCCCGCCTCATGTAACGCAGGCCTACTGTGGCCTCCCAGAGTCTTAACGTAACCAAAGAGGGCCCAATGCCAGGTCTTCGTGCTTGTGACCATCACCGCCTTCAGCGCCGCGGGGTTCCTGTACTCTCTGGAGGGGACCTGGCAGGGCCGCCCCTGGGCAGCTGTGGCGTGCAGCTGGGTGGGTCAGGGGTCCTCCTCTCCATGTGGCCCTCCCCTCCCTTTCTCTTCTCCCTCATTCCCTTCCTCCCTGTCGCCGAGTCCCCTCCATTCTCTCAAGCCCCCCCTTGTCCACGTGGTCCCTTCCCTCTCTGCCTCCAGGTCGCGCACGCGCGGGGCGCGCGAGCGGCGGGCGGTGGGAAGCGCACGGGCGGATGGGGCAGGACTCCTACCTGAGCTTCCGCAAGAAGAAGCGTGATATGATGATGAAGCTGCACGAGGGCGAGGAGGCAGCCTTCCCCGTGCCACGCGCCGGGGCGCCGGGGGCGCCAGTCGCCGCGGAGAGGGCCGCGCCCAGGAGAACCCCCCTTGGAGATGGGAGCGGGGTGCGTGGACCAGGGGCCCCCTGGCCAACACCGCGTCGCCGATGCGTCGGCGACTTCTCCTCCTCATCCCCCTCCTCGTCGTCGTCCTCCTCCTCCTCCCCACCCTTCTTCTCCTCCTCAGTCCCGCTTCTGCTCCCGCGCCCTTCTTTTCTCCTCTATCCCGCTGGCGCGTGGCGGACAAGGGGACAAAGCGCGCACGTCACGCCAGGGCCAGGGCGCGTCGGGGCAGCGCCTTTCGCGCTGCGACCGCAGGGACGGGACGTCCTCCGCTGGCGGCCGTCGGGCTGCTGGGTGATGTGCATGCGGCGGCGAGAGGGGGCGCCGCCACGACTTTGGAGCGAGCCTGCCAGAGCCCCAACGCCAGGAGCTGGCCTCGCCTGGGTTGTTACCACCGGTCGTCACCCGAGAGTAGAGTGGGGCAGGCTTTCCGGTATCCCGAATCTACACGTCAGCGCTCACCTGCACTCTTTCTCTCTCTGTTCTGCTGGATCAAGGCGCGTGCAGGCTGCGACGTGCGCCGCCCTTGGCGGCTCTCGTGTCTGAATGCTAACTGTTTGGGCTCACGCGTGCGTTGATGATATCCCCACCGGTCACTCGCTGTTTTATGTTGACTGTCACTTGGTCTGTTTCGCAGACCTCGAGAACCATCTTCTTGCGTGCCAGTGCTAGGAGACGGTTGTTCTCCTTATCCTGAGAATATCCTGAGAATTGGATTTTTATTACTAGTCCGATGATAAGGCTTTCTTTTCTCCATTGTTCTCACCCGCCGCCTCCTTCCCATAATCAGAGCCAGTCATACTCATGCCCTCTCGTCCTCAGACCTACTCATGTTCAAACTCACTCAGACTCAGACTTACTCCCACGCAGACTGACTCACACTCACCCGCAATCATAGTCGTGCTTTGACACTTACGTTCGCTTATTTTCAGACTAGCTCACACTCAGATTTGCTCATACTGAACTCGCTCGCACCCAGGCCTAACCAAACGTAGACTCACTCATACACAGACTCACTCACATTCAGACCTTTTCATAATCAGACCCTCTCATGTCAGGACTCACTCAAACTCAGACTCACTCACACTGAGATCCGCACAGCTGTAGCGGGCATCGAAGTTGCAAGAGCCGGTTGGTGCCCAGATTGTCGGGACCCTTCAGGTAGAACACCTAGTTTTCCCAACCATCCTGTGATGTTGGGTCCTCGTTTTGAAGAGACGGTGCCCCGCGTTCCCGCCTCCTTCCTCCCTCCCTCCTCCCCCCTCCTCCCCCTCCTACACCCATTCTGGCACACCCCTCACACGTTTCGTGGCCCCATAGGGAGCTCCAGCGAAGGCCCCAGTGGCTGCGTTCGCATGCGGTTCCACCCCCCATTTCGGCACACCCCTCACACGTTTCGTGGCCCCTATAGGGAGCTCCACCGAAGGCCCCAGTGGCTGCGTTCGCATGCGGTTCCACCCCCCATGTCGGCACACCCCTCACACGTTTCGTGGCCCCATGGGGAGCTCCAGCGAAGGCCCCAGTGGCTGCGTTCGCATGCGGTTCCACCCCCCATTTCGGCACACCCCTCACACGTTTCGTGGCCCCAGGAGCTCCAGCGAAGGCCCCAGTGGCTGCGTTCGCATGCGGTTCCACCCCCCATTTCGGCACACCCCTCACACGTTTCGTGGCCCCATAGGGAGCTCCACCGAAGGCCCCAGTGGCTGCGTTCGCATGCGGTTCCACCCCCCATTTCGGCACACCCCTCACACGTTTCGTGGCCCCATAGGGAGCTCCACCGAAGGCCCCAGTGGCTGCGCCCGCATGCGTCCCCCCCCATTTCGGCACACCCCTCACACGTTTCGTGGCCCCACAGGGAGCTCCACCGAAGGCCCCAGTGGCTGCGTTCGCATGCGTTCCCCCCCCATTTCGGCACACCCCTCACACGTTTCGTGGCCCCATAGGGAGCTCCACCGAAGGCCCCAGTGGCTGCGTTCGCATGCGGTTCCACCCCCCATTTCGGCACACCCCTCACACGTTTCGTGGCCCCATAGGGAGCTCCACCGAAGGCCCCAGTGGCTGCGTTCGCATGCGGTTCCACCCCCCATTTCTGGCACACCCCTCACACGTTTCGTGGCCCCATAGGGAGCTCCACCGAAGGCCCCAGTGGCTGCGCCCGCATGCGGTTCCACCCCCCATTTCGGCACACCCCTCACACGCTTCGTGGGTGGCTCCATGGGGAGCTCCACCGAACGCCCCAGTGGCTGCGCTCGCATGTGGTTCCCCCCCCATTTCGGCACACCCCTCACACGGTTCGTGGCCCCATAGAGAGCTCCACCGAAGGCCCCAGTGGCTGCGCTCGCATGCGGTTCCACCCCTTTTTCGGCACGCCCTTCACACGTCTCGTGGCCCCATAGGGAGCTCCACCGAACGCCGCAGTGGCTGCGCTCGCATGCGGTTCCACCCCCCATTTCGGCACACCCCTCACACGTTTCGTGGCTCCATAGGGAGCTCCACCGAAGGCCCCAGTGGCTGCGCTGGCATGCGGTTCCACACCCCATTCTGGCACACCCCTCGCACGTTTCGTGGCCCCATAGGGGGCTCCACCAAAGGTCCCAGTGGCACTGCCCGCTTGCGTCCGCCACCACCCAGCACAGCCCTTGTTCCCTGCGCTTCACCCACCCAGAACAGCGCTTCGTAGCCCTATAGGGAGCTCCACCAAAGGTCCCAGCGGCACCGCCCGCATGCGTCCGCCACCACCCTGCACAGCCCTTGCTCCCTGCCTGCGTTTCACCCACCCAGTACAGCGTTTCGTGGCCCCATAGGGAGCTCCACCGAAGGTCCCAGTGGCACCGCTCGCATGCGTCCGCCACCACGCAGCACAGCCCTTGCTGACCGCGTCTCACCCACCCAGTACAGCGTTTCGTGGCCCCATAGGGAGCTCCACCGAAGGTCCCAGTGGCACCGCCCGCATACGTCCGCCACCACCCAGCACAATTGCGGCATTCACAACTGCATATGGTTGGGTCCTTCGCCAGGCTAATTTGGATGTATTTTTTGTGTGTGTGTGTGTGTGTGTGTGTGTGTGTGTGTGTGTGTGTGTGTGTGTGTGTGTGTGTGTGTGTGTCTGTGTGTGTGTGTGCGTGTGTCAAGTCAGAGCCACATGATCCACGCGATGTAGCGGGCATCGCAGTTGGGCTTCCCAAGGTGGTGTCGACCAAGGGTGTTGCAAGGGCACGTTGGCGCCCAGATTGTCGGGTCGACTTTGGGCTAGAAGGCCGATTTTTGGACGCAGACGCGTTTCCAGAATGACGTTTCGCTAGAAGGTTCTGCTTTGGGTAGGAATGGACCACAGAAGAGTCCCACAGGGGAGAGGATGGGAAGCCTGGGGCGAATCCCACGATCGCCCCGTCTGGGGGCCCACAGGCGGACCCTACCCCTCCCCCTCAGAAATCGTGGGGGGTAGGGGTAGGGCTCACATGAGGCCCCCTACCGTCCAGCAGCCGTTTCGCCTGAGCCTTCCTCACAATTTACCGTGCTCTCGCCTCGATGCCGGCTACGTTGTTGGTCCGGACGGCCACGAGCCCTTGTGAGCCGCACGCTCAGGCGTACGTGGCCGTGCGCTCACCCCTGTCCCCTATGTAGCCGACCTCCCGCTCCTCGGCCCGCCTCTTTACCTGTTCTGCTGCCAGGATACTCTGCTGGGGTAGTTCTCGAAAGAGCTCGATGACTGCCGCGACGCAGCGGGCATTTCATGTCGGCCTTCTTGCAGAGTGTCGACCACGGTTGTTCCACAGACCCGTCGGCGCCTTGATTGTCCAGACCTCTTAGGCCAGTTTCGGACGTAGACGCTTCTTTTCAGAGCCGCATTACCACCGCGATGTAGCAGGCATCGAATTTGGGCCTCCCATGGGCGTGTCGATGGGGTGTTGCAAGGGTCCAATGACGCCTATATTGTCGGGACCTCCCAGGTAGAACAGTCGGTTTTTGGACGCGTACGTGTTTCTTTTCAGAGCCCCCTGATCACCGCGATGTAGCGGGCATCGCAGTTGGGCCTCCCGAGGGGGTGTTGACCAAGGGTGTTCCACGGGCCCGTTGGCGCCCAGTTTGTGGGGACCTTTCAGGTACAACATGCGTAGTTTGGACGTACGCGTGTCGTTGTTGCATAGCTCCATGACGACTGCGAAGCAGCAGCCATCGCATTTGGGCCTCCCAGTGGAGTGTCGACCAGGGGTGTTCCACAGGCTCGTTCGACCCGTATGATGACAATTTTTCCTTTGCGGGGAGGCAGACGTGTGTTCTTTGGCCCTATGCGTGATCACCGCGATGTTGCAGGTATCGCATTTGGCCTTCTTGTGATGGGTTAACCAGGGGTGTTGCGCGGGCCCGTTCGTGCCCATACCGTCCAGAACTGTCAGGTAGATTGGCCGTTTTGGGGGGTATACATGTCCTTTGTTGGAACCCCCTGTTCACCGCGATGTAACAGGTCTCGCATCTGGGCCTCCCGAAAGGGTGTCGACCAGGAGTGCTCTACGAGCCCGCTCATGCCCATGTTGTCGGAGCGTTTCAGGAGGCCGGGGTGGGGTGAGGGAGGGTATGTGAACACGGATGGAGGGCTGCCGGCGGCTGGTTCTTTACAGCCTGGGGCTCCCGCCGTACGCAGGCGGCCCAGGTCGTTCGTTGAGCGAGCCCTCCGCTCCTCCTCGTCGTCGTCCTCGTCGTCCTTCTCCTTCCCCTCGTGCCAGCCTCGTCTCACGACTTTTGATGGCATTGCGAGTGGCTCATTTGCTTGGGTCAGGGGCGCTCGCACGCAAGCATTTGAGTTTTAAGTCGCCATGGTCCCCGGCAAGACCGGGAGCGTGCCTGAGGCAGCAGATCAGGAGTACCTCCCCTTCTCCTCCTCCTCCTCCTCCTCCTCCTCCTCCTCCTCCTCCTCCTTCTTTCCTCCTCCTCCTCCTCCTCCTTTTCCTCCTCCTCCTCCTCCTCCTCCTCCTCTTCCTCCTCCTCCCCCTCCTTCCCCCTTGCGCCCTCGTCTTCTTCTCTCTCATTGTCCAGGGCGCCCTGGGAGTCCATGAAGGCCTCAGAAGCCTCGGGGAGGCCGCGGCAAGCCCCAGAATTCAATAGGCCACAGGACGCCTTCAGAAGTTCCACGCGCCATTGGGAATCCCTAGGATGCCGAAGGAGCCGAGGAAGCCCTAAAAAGGCATCAGGAGGCTGCAGGAAACCCTTTGAGGCTCCAGGACGCTTCAGGCCAGGCCCACTCAGACTCAGCCACCTAAAGTCCTACTCGCTCATATTCAGACTCACTCACTCCAATCTTTACTCAGGGTAGGACCCACTCGTGCTCAGATCCATCCGTACCCGGTGTTGTTCACATTCAGACGCACGCATATTCAGACTCACTCGCACCCATACCTACTCGTATTCGATCTCGCTCGCACTCAGCCGCTCAGGCGGAGCCACCCGCAATCAGACTCCCTCACACTCAAGCCCACTCATGTTCGCGCTCATTCGCATCCACTCACACACTCCCAGACTTGGACCCATTCGTAGACCAGCTCATGGCCGAACCGATTCATGCCCAGACCTAGGCGCACGTGGTCGCTCATGTTCGGGGCCATTAGCGTCCGGACATCCTCGTGCCCAACCGCTCAGCCTCAGGTGTAGCTGACAGTCCGACCCGCACACGCTCAGACGCCGAGAGCGGAAAGCTCTGGGAGACAGGCCCACACATGGGGACCTCCGCGTCAAAGACGTTTTTCACCCGCTTGCGATTTTCTTGAACCCACCCCCTGGGGGCCGCCGCCAGCTTTCGGAGAACCGCTCACCTTTCGACCGTTCGATTTTTTTGGTGAACCCACCCCGGCCGACGTGGCCTGGGGAAGGGTACATTTGGGTGACATTATTTTCGCACCTACTGGTGTGATCTCGCACTGAATTGTTTCGATCGATTGACCGTGCCTGGGATGCGCGCTGGACTGGGATGTGTGCTGGGATGTGCGTTGGGACGTGTGCTGGGACGTGTGCTGCCTTCGTGTGCTGGGATGTGTGCAGCGCTGTGAACTGCCGCCGTGTGCTGGGATAAGTGCTGGGATGTGTGCTGCCTCCGTGGATGTGCGCTGGGATGTGTGCAGGGCTGCGTGCTGCCTCCGTGTGCTGGGATACGTGCTGGGATGTGTGCTGCCTTCGTCCCGTGGCCCCGTGGCCCCCGTCTGCTTATTCCGACCGACCGACCGTGCCCCCCCTGCCCGACCGGGCCCTTCCGCCCCCCCGCTCCCCCCCCCCGCACCCCTCCGCCTCGTGGCCCCCGTCCGCCGACCGACCGACCATGCCCCCCCCCGCCCGACCGTGCCCTCCCCCCGCACCCCGGGGGCCACGTCTGCTCATTCCAACCGACCGACCGTGCCCCCACCCCCTGCCCGACCGTGCCTTCCCGCCCCCCTGCCCCCCCCCCCCCGCACCCCTCCGCCCCGTGGCCCCCGTCTGATTATTCCAACCGACCAACCGTGCCCCCCCTGCCCGACCGTGCCCTCTCCCGTCCCCCTGCTCCCCTCCCGCGCCCTTCCGCTCCGACCTACCGTGCCCCCCCCATTGCCCGACCGTGCCCCTCCGTCTCCCCTCCCCCGCGCCCCTCCGCCCCGTGGCCCCCCTCTGCTTATTCCGACCGACCGACCGTGCCCTCTCGCCCCCCCGCCACCCCCTCCCCCCTTCCGACTGACCAACCGTGCGCCCCCACGCCTTCCCCGCCCCGTGGTGCCCGTCCGTCTATTCCGACCGACCGACCGCGCCCCGTCCCTCCGTGGCCCCCCTTCTGTTTGTTCCGACCGACCGACCGTGCCCCCCCTCTGCCCAACCGTGGCCGCCCGTGCCCCCCCTCTGCACGACCGTGCCCCCCCTTCTGCCCATTCCGACCGACCGACCGTGCTCCCCTGCCCGACCGTCGTGCCCCCTTTATTCCCACCGACCGACTGTGCGCCACCCCAGCCCGTCGGTGGCCCCCGAGCCCCCCTCCTTCCCCTGTGGGCTCCCCTTTGCTTACTTCGACCGACCGACCGTGCCCCCCCCTGCCTGACCGCGTCCCCCCGTGCCCCCCCCTTACCCCCGTGTCCCCCATCCTCTGCTTATCCCGACCGGTCGACCGTGCCCCCCACCCCCTGCCCGACCGTGCTCCCCCGCGCCTCCCCTTCCCCCCCGTGCCCTTCCCCCGCTTCTTATTCCGACCGATCGACTGTGCCCCCCCCCTGCTCGACCGTGGCCCCCTCGTCCCCCCGCCCTTCCCCCTGTGGTCCCCGCCCTCTGCTCATTCCGACCGACCGACCGTGCCCCCCCCCCCCCCTGCCCGACCGTAGGTAGCCCCCCGTGCTTTCCCCCCTTCCCCCGTGGCCCCCCCCTCTTCCGAAGTGTTCCGACCGACCGACCGTGCCCCCCCCTCCCCTGCCCGACCGTGGCCCCCCGTGCCCCCTCCAGTCCCTCCGTGCCCCCCCCCCCCTCTGCGTATTCCGACCGATCGACCCTGCACCCCTCCCCTGCCCGACTGCTGCACCCCCTTTGCCCTGCCCTTTCCCCCCCGGTGCCCGCCCCCTCTGCTTCTTCCGACCGGCCGATCGCGTCCCCCCCCCTCGCCCGACCGTGGCCCCCCGTGCCCTCCTCCTCCTCTGCTAGTTCCGACCCACCGACCGTGGCGCAAACTCACACCATGGTCCCGACGAGCTCACAGTGGCGTAACAAGGGCCTCGCAGCAAGGGCCCCAAGAGCGATCCGTCTTTCCAAAACTTATGACACATCTATGATGTTTGTCTCCTTGGGCCAGCTCGGAAGGTTTCTCGACGGCCTCTTGGGGCGTCTCGGGGGCATCTTTTGGCCGTCCGGAGGCCATCTTGGGCGTCTCGGACTGATCGTTCGACGACTCGGGGCCCTTTCCCACCGTCTTGGGAGTTTCTGAGGGCCCTCTTGGCCCGTCTTCGGGCATTCGCCAGCGTGTCGCAGCACTCGCGCGCTTCCCCGAAACTACCGCAGGTCGGCGCCATCTCCATCTCCCATTGTCCCGCATCCGTGATTGTATGATATTCGGCACGCGTGCCTCTTGTTTACTTACCCTTCCTGGGCAGCGGGGTTGGGGAAGGGTCCTAACATATCTCGCAAGGGGGTTGCATTTACAACCCAACCCCTTCTTCAAAGCCCAGATTCTCAGCGAATGAGGGTGGTGCACCATCTCGACCCCCTCTGTAATTGGCGGCAGGCGCGCACCTTGCGGCGGCGCGCCTTGCTCAGGCGCGCTCCTCCGTCCCGACCGAGATGGTGGACGGGCCCAGGTTCCGTGCGCCGGTCGCGCCCGGCGGCGCACAGTACGGTGGGACGCCGCGCCCCTGGAGCGGCTACGGTTCGACCACGGTGATGGGGGGGGGATGTGGTGGGAGATCTTCGCAGCCCGCTGGATCTTCGTAGCCTGCGAGAGCGTGCGGTATAGACGCGCTGCTTGTGGCAGTTCCCTGGGAGCGTTCTCGTGCAGAGGCGGCATGGGACAGCGAGGGGCGTATCACGGGCTGTTCTTGGCCAGTCCCGATCGGAAAAGCATGTGAAGTGACTGCGTCTGCCCTCACCCCCTGCCTTTTGGAAACGCCCATGCGGCCAAACGTTGGACCGAAGCTTGGCCAAGCGATTGGACTATGTGTTTGCCCAGCCGTTGTGGAACCCCTTAGGGGAACATTGGGGAGGGGAAGAGAAATGAGGATGAGGAAAGGGGGGGGGGTAGGAGGAAGAGGAGGAGGAGGAAGATGAATAATAATAATATTAGTAATAAGAATACTAGTAAAAAATAGCAATGCGAGTAATAAGCATACTAATAATCATGAGAAGGATAATAATAACACTAATAATAGAAATGCTACGAATATGAATATGGAAAATATGATTCATACTAACAATAAGAAGAATAAGGCAAATAATAATATGAGCCCTAAAAGTAGTATTTATACTAATAATGATAACAATAATAATCCTAAGAAGACGAATAATCATAACAATAGTAATATTAAGAGTAATACGAATAATGACAGCAGTACTAATAATCAGAAGAATACTAAGAAGAGGAGGAGGAGGAGGAGGAGGAGGAGGAGGAGGAGGAGGAGGAGGAGGAGGAGGAGGAGGATGGCGGAGGAGGAGCGGATGGCGGAGGAGCGCTCTTCGGGCGGAGGAGGGTGGCGGAAGAGGAGCGTCTTGGAGCCATCTTCGGGCGGCCCAGGGCCCTCTTGTACCGTCTTGGTGGCCTTGTTAAGACGGCCTTTGGCCGTATTGGGGCACTCTTGGAATCGCTTTGGCTTCCCTGGAGCTCGCCCAGCGCGGGCCGACACGCTCTGGGAGCGCACAATTTTTTTTGCACACAGGGCGCTGGGCTCATGTAGTCCTACAAACTGACAACAAGACGGCAGTCCCTCTGCGGTGCACAACTGTATGAGCCTTGGGGCACTCAACTATGTGCTGACGGCACGGTGGCGGATGCTTGGGCCAGTTCCGGAAGTAACTTAATTGTCTGATGAAGCGAAGCCATGTGGGCCACGCGCGCGCGTGACAACATCAATTTTATTGGAATCATAACAGCATTCAACGCACCAATTGATTTTCCAAAAGGCTGCTTTTTCGTCGCGCGCAAAGTCTGAACTCCTTACGTGTACTTCCATTCTCGTTGTGCTTAATCAGTTTACGCTTTGTCCATCTGCAGTCGGCATGTGGTCTGCCATTACACGGGAACGTCTTGTCCAAGTCGTGGGCTTGGGACTCTTGATGAAGTCGCCAATCATGCGGGGCTTGTCGAAGGCGGTGATCCTCGCAGAAATGGTTTGGTTAGACCTAGTCACGGCTTCTGGTATGAAAGGGGGACTTGATAATGCGAGTTGTCATGATCAAGTGAAGCTTTTTGATCGTCTTCCACATGAGAGTGGGCTCTATTTCTCGCTGCTCTTCTTTACTCTGTTCGATTCCACTCAACTTGATGATGATGGGGATGAGGATTCGGAAAAGGATGACTATGCTGATGATGAAGATGATGATGATGATGATTCTGATGATGATGCTGATGATGCTGCGGCTGATGACGATGACGATAGTTATGACGACGATATTGCTTAGGATGATGATGACGATGATGATGATGATGATGGTGATGATGATGGTGATGATGATGGTGATGATGATGACGGTGATGATGATGAGGATTGTGATGAAGAGGATTATGATGAATATGATGATGCTGCTGATGACGATGACGATGATTATGACGACGATATTGCTTAGGATGATGATGATGATGATGACGATCATGATGATGGTGATGATGGTGATGATGGTGATGATGATGATGATGATGATGATGATGATAATGGTGATGATGCTAATGATGATGATGATGATGATGATGATGACGATGATGATGATGATGATGATGATGATGATTATGATGCTGATGATGATGATGATGATGATGATGATGATGATGGATGATGATGGTGATGATGGTGATGATGGTGATGATGTGATGATGGTGATGATGATGATGATGATGATGATGATGATGATGCTGATGGTGATGATGATGATGATGATGATGCTGATGATGATGATGATGATGATGATGATGATGATGATGATGATGCTGATGCTGATGCTGATGATGATGATGATGATGATGATGAGATGATGATGATGATGATGATGATGATGATGATGATGATGATGATGATGACGAGGATGAGGATGAGGATGAGGATGAGGATGAGATCAATGACGAGGTGCAGATGGCGTAACAGGAGGAGATGGAGGCGAGGAGGAGGAGGAGGAGGAGGAGGAGAGGAGGAGGAGGAGGAAGAAGGGTAGGGGGAGGAGGAAAATTGCGACCAGATACGGCAGGATGAGGGATGAGAAGGAGGAGAGGAGGAGGAGGAGGAGGAGGAGGAGGAGGAGGAGGAGGAGGAGGAGGAGGAGGAGGAGAAGGAGGAGGAGGAGGAAGAGGAGGAGGAGGAGGAGGAGGAGGAGGAGGACGGCATGATGATGAGAAGGGGAAGAGGACGCGCGGAACGGGCAGTGTGCGGCAGGGGCCGCTGCCCAACGCCGGCGCGCCGTACGGCAGGTTCTGACGCGGCCTTCCCCCCGTGGGCAATTGGTCCGCGATATCGTGCGTGCTGAGCAGTCGGGCGGCCCAGGCTTCGGGTGGGTAGTTTTTGGATTTGCTAATCCTGGCGTCTCTCATGAGTTTTGACCGCTGGGGCTCGTCTCTGGGGCCCGGGGGCCATCAGAGATGGGCCAGGGGCGAAGACAAGCGCCCCCAGAGGAGGGGGGAGGGGACCCCTGGGGCTGGTGGATGGAGACTTATGCATCCATCGGATGTCGATGCTGACATCGACCTGCTAAGTTTTGCCATTGATTCGAAGATCGAGGAGAGCGATTCTGGATGCTCCTGGAAGGTCCTCGGATGTCTTGGGGCCGCCAAGGGCCTCTGAAGCGGCCTTCGGGGACCTCCGGGGATTTGAGGACACCGACGCTGGCCATCCAGTCCTCTGGACGTCGCGAAGAAAGAGATCACGACGCGCTATCTTCTCGCGACCTGGGCCTGTGGGGGGGCGTTTTCAGGGCCATCAGGAAACGAGCCGCGACGGGAAGTGGGTCCTGGGGATGGAGTCGGGAGTTCTGGGGCCCATGCCATGAATGATACAGCCATGACGTCGGAGGTTTGGGCAGGTCATTCTTGCGCCTCTCAATTGTTGACGCTCTCGTGTCCGCAATCAGAAACAGTGCCAAGACATAAGCCTTTAAGTGAAAGCTCGCGAGCTGGCCCACCAGGCCCTGTCTTGGGGCCCTCTTCGGGCGTTCTTGGGGCTATTCTTGGGAGTCTTGGATTCCTCTTGGGACTCTCTTGGGGGTCTTGGGGCCCTCTTGGGGCTTTCTTGGGCGCTTCTTGGGAGCCCTGGAGGCCTCTTGTGGCCATCTTGGACTGTGTTGACCATGAGAAGGGGGTTCTTTGATTCAGGTCTCCTCTCAAGAGATCGCCTCTTGGGCCTCACTGGGCCCCGCTTGGGGCGCTCTTTGGCGGTCTTGGGGCCGTCCTGGGAGCATCTTGGGCTTCTTTTGGGGCTCTCTTGGAGCTCTCTTGGGCCATCTTGGGGCCATCTTGAGGCTCAGAAGCCAGGAGGAGGACAGCGAGCAGAAACAAACTATGTTTGATAGAACATGTTCCCGCTCAGTTTCTGATGAACCTTGGGCGGGAGGGTGAGGATGGGGAAAATGATGAAGAGGAGAAAGAGGAGTGGCGAAGAGGACGAGGAGGAGCACGAGGACGAGGAGGGAGAGGGGGACGAAGATGAAAAGGATGAGGAGGAGGACGACGACGAGGATTCTGGCAGCGATATTAGGGCTTGCTCGAGGCCCGTTTGGAGTCCTCTTGAAGCTCCCTTGGGGTCCTCTTGGTGCCCTCCTGGGGCAATTTTGGAGCGTATTGGGTCCTCTTGGGGTTCTGTTAGAAGGTATTGGGGCCCTCTTCGGGCCCTCTTGGGGCCATTTGTGAGGGCGTCGATCAAAAGAGGGGGGGGGGTCCTCGATTTCCCTTGTACCGTTGAGGTTGTCAAAACCGCCTCTTGGGGCGCTCTCGGGGCACACTCGGGGCGCTCTTGGGCGCTCCTGGGGCCGTCCTGGGGGCATCTCGGGCCCCTCTCGGGGCTCTCTTGTGCCATCTTGGGGCCATCTTGAGGCCTCAGAAGCCCATCGGAAGCGAAAAGGCGAGAATGCATCCACCATGTGTTTTCCGTAGGTGTTTCAAGGACTTGGGGTTCTTTGAGGGCTCTTGGAGGGCTCCGGCATTTGGAACCGTATTGTGGCTCTGGTGGGGCTTTTTGGAGATATGTTGGAGGCTACCTTCAACCATCGTCGGCTATATTGAGCCATCTGGGAGACGAGCTCTAAAGGAGGCTGGGGAAAAGGCGAGAGATAGCGAGCGTTTGTCCGCGGCCGTTTGTGCTCAAGCGGCCCGCCACCAATCTATGATTGTGCCTCCTCGCGAGGCGCACTACTTGCCATTGAGACCGCAAACATCTTCGCTTGACATGGCCCGTCGCTCCCGCGACGATCTCCTACTTCTGGGACTATCGTTACTACGGTACGTACAACAGAGTTGGATCTTGTCTTCGCATAGGCGAAGCGTATGGTTGGGCCTCCCAGCCCCCTTTCAAACTTGGTAGCGGAGCTGGCCTATGGTGGTCAGCTCTAGCTTTACTCCTCACCATCCACGGCGCTATCTGGTGGACTACTGACATGGTGGAACATCAGGGTGCTGTGGGTTTGCGCGGAGGAATGTGCACATCTACGCACAACCGCAAGGGCATTTGCAGCGCTACCTCCGTTCTCGCGGAGGCTTCTTACATGAGTCCTACTTCCCTGCGCTACTACACTCCTGAAGTCCACCGTGTTACTCCAATGGGAAGCTTGTTTGACGACGCATTGCATGGTAACGTGCGATGCGACGTTGTGCCGCTTCCACCCCCGCGAAGGTTAACGACAACACATCTTAACCACAGCCACATTCATCCGACCACGACCTGAAGGGGCCAATGGGTTGGCATTTCCATGTTTGGTCTCCCATGGGTCACTATCGGGTGCGCTGTTGGGCACGCGATGCCTGGATAAAGCAAGAGGAAAAGCAGAAAACTGATAAAGAAGCCGGCATCAAACCATGCAAGCGGCCCAAGGTAGTCGATGACGGCAGCGATGACTGCGGCGAGGACCTGAAGGGCCTCTGGAGTGGGGCTTACTACACCGACGTTCCCCTAGACACCGGCAGGGACGAAGATGAGGAAGCCTTCATCACGCTACCAGCGGGTCTACTTGCGGATGCACATGCCGATGTGTTTGCCATAATCCCAACCTTGTGTTACGGACGACGCAACAAGGTAGACATGCTTGCGTGGAGGTACTGGGGGAATATCGCAGTGAACCTTCAGCCGAGGTCCTTCCTCAGGGGGAAACCTCGACAAACGTTCTTACGTCGACCTTGGAAGCAAGGAAGTCCATGACGCAGTTATGCACTAATTAGATGTGTGCATCGTCAATGTTGTTATATTACAACCCAACTGCAGAACGACTGGGCTGCCGCCCTACTTTAATTCTAAGGTCAATTATGACACGTGCTATGAACACCGCAAGAAAGACCTTTCACACATCAAGTTCTGTGGAAGGGTTGCCGTGCGTCAAAACGATCTCAGACGGTTTTACTTACGAGAACAACCAGTGGGTATTTGGGTGGGTGACATACTACCACGGACTACACTGAATCAACGCAAGGACACTTGCAACATCAACATGGACCAATGCACCACGGGCGTTCGTGAATTCCCACGGGGTATTAATATGCAAGCCTACTGAGATAATGGCCAACCGCCGTCTTTTGCTGACACCATTCGAGAGCAAACGGTGCACTGGCCATCATCGACGTGCTTTGGGTTGTAACAAGGAACTGGCCAGGGCAGCTCAATGCACTCCGAAGATGCATTCCCTCTTTGCTGAAGCAATTCAAATTGCACATGACATGTTCCTAGTAAATCGTGATTCCTTCCGTGATCATCCTCGTTCGTCTTCTGTTCTCGTCGCGAACATGTGAGGATTCGGCTTGGGTGACCCAACTATCCGTCGGCGCCCTGACGGATGGATCATGGGACCACCATCAGGAGGGTGGGGATGTCCAGCTTGTGCGGACAACGTCAACTTGCACTCCCCTTCACGCGACAGGGACCCTAAGCACTGTGGGTGGTACAACAATGAGATTTTATTGGAAATGCCCAAGCTGCAAGAATAACTACAGCCAGGCTAAACCTTGCCACCTACGCACGCCTGACACATGTAAATTCGCCAAGCCGTGGAATTTGCCTGACGACCGCGGACGAGAGCCTCCGTCTCCTGCCGAGCCGGCAGCGCCACCACCCGCGGCGGCAGCTGTATCCGAGGCATCAGCCGCCAAACAAACTGCTCGGCTACGAGCTCCGAGGCCTGGTTCCAGAGCTTGACCGACGGCGGGTGCCAGCAGCGGCGACATCGCAGTAGGCAGACGCGCCGCTGAAACGGCTGCGGGGCAGCCTGCCTCGAGTGGAGCCGGCAGCGCGGACGATCGCAGACGTTTGCCGCGGCTAGTGGCTAGACGAGGCCGACAGCAAGGAGGGGGTCCACCCCCGCCACCGCCTGCGGGTGACCCTGCTGCTCGTCCAAGACTTCCAGACTGATCGAGGTTCGACGTGCAAATTAGTTTACAGAACCTGCGCAGCCGTGACCCAAGCGTGGTAACGCGCGAGTTGCGAAAACTGCGTTTGCGGTGGTTCCACGCCAAATAGCCTAAGATGATACTCGTCTTAACCAAGGCTGGTCTGGACAACGTCAGGCTGAGCCTGGTAACGGGCGTCTGTGATACATGTCGGGAGTGCAGGGCTCGGGACAAGCCGGGGCGTGCATTTCTGCCGTCTTCTGCGCTACCTGGCAAGGTTGACCATGACATCGAATGCGACCTGATCCCGTGCAAACAGGAACGCAATCTATTTCATTTTCGATCGCTGCGTTCAGTATGGTGCTGGAATGGAAATACCAGACGAAATCATGACCAGCATATTAGATGCGTATCCTCAGTGGTGGATGCAAGTCGGACCTGCCGAAGTACTCTACTCCGACGGGGGGGGCGCGCTTAACAACGACGCCGCGAAGGCAGTCTTTCAGGCCAAATGCACTTAGCTGAGGACGCGTGCTCGTGGACAACGCGCCATTGCAGTTGAAGCCAGAAGTGGCGAATTACGACGCTTACTTCACGTCGGGGAAATTGAGGTCAACAGGGTAGGCGTGCCGCTAGTGTTCATATGTCTACTGCATGAAGCTTTATTTGCCGCCATCGCGTTCACCTTGTATAGTGAGGTGTCTCCATGCAACGCACTGTTTGGGCGGCAGCCAGCGATGCTACCCGACTTGCTTGTCCTGCACAACGAACAGCAGACGGGAACATCCGACCACTCTCGAGAACGGTCTATCCTCCGGGTAAGCATCGAGGCTATTTCTCAAGCCATTGCAGTAGCGAAAACCAACCGCGCACTACGGACCAAGACTAGTCTCACTG